TATCTGTTATTATTTTTTCCCTTGGATTTTTCTTTAAACTTAACCGCATCATATTTTATTTATCGTAATTTAAGTATTTTGACGATTGTTTTTATGCTTCAAATGTTTTACCAGATCGTCAGCCTTTTGTGATATCTGAATCTGGTTCCTGTAACAGAACAGTGCCCGATTTTTTTTTTTTTTAGAAATTGTTTTGTGAAATGGGAGAAAGAATTAGATTCCAAAACTGGTGTTTCATTTTAGTATATACGTAATTCTTCACATATGTGCAGTAGACATCTTTTCATAATAAAAATGTCCTGATTGTTGATTTCAGTTTGGTACTAAATAAAACATCTCCATATTGATGAATAATTTGTTACCTCCATAGCTGTCTTTTTGTTTAGTATACATCTCAAACTAAAACAATACACTGTAGTTCATCACCGAATTTACACCTACTGAATAACCTGTACCTTTGATGCTAACCTAGCAATATTTTTTTTATTTCCTAACCATGTGGCTATAAACTCCTAGCAATCCGAGAAAAGACTTGGGCAGGTGTACCTTAAATATAAAAATATATATAACATACAACTTGAACAAACTTGAAAAATACATACACATTTATTTAAGTTTAGATTATATTTTAATATGTTTCATAAATCGAACTAAACTAAATATAAAAAATGTTGATAAAAGTAGTTTTTTGTATTCATAAAAGAAAACTAAATACTTAACAGGTTAATAAAAGGCAGACTGCATTCCCCCTGAAACTATGAAATTCACTACTAGGCACAATTCCTCCCTGGATGAGAACCTCTGTTCTAGATTATGTGGATAAAAGCTATTCTGGTACTAACTTATTAATGCAACCACCTTCATAGCACTCACCACATTTTCAGAATGTGCCAAATTCTGGCAAACATATGCATAATCATTCTTTCAGCAATTATGCTGATAGCTTCCCTCAGTCAAGTAACGCTGCTGTTTTTGTATGTGTTCCTTTTTTGTTGTATTCCAAGTTCCAACGGTTATTATAAACAAATCATGACATTTTTTTCCCCCTAAAGCTTAGTTTTAAAATATAAGATTGTGGATTTTGCCAGTAACAGAAGAAACTGCATTAAAATTTCTGTGAATTTTCTAAAGGTAACAAAGAGGAGATGCATTTACTCGATCACCATTGCTACCAAGGTTAGCATGAAGCCGAGTTTGCGTAATTCTCTGGTGTTTTTTAAGCGAAAACAGATCGCTGTGTGCTTCAGAAGAATAGCATAAAAAATTACAGAAATCTTTGATGTTTTCTTTTTTAATGTGTTATGTAATCCTTATTCATATTATAAGTATTTTAAATTGCTAAAGTATGTTTTCTTTTCATATGGTGATAATGTTTACATAATGTTTACTGACTTATGATAAGTATCAATAGCTGGGGAATTTTTCTTTAAAAAAAAAAGTGGGGTTTCACAAAAATCCCCAACTTTCACCCAATAATTCAATTTTACCTTTTCATCTATGAAAAATTGCCAAACTGCACCAAGGTGGGTGCATTAATATGTAAAGGTGGGTGCATTAATATGTAAAATTAGTATGACATCATCTACTGTCACTGCTGCTCATGCATTTTCTTCTCCTTTTTATATTTCTCATAGAAATTTTGTTTAATTTTGATAATCTGTGATAGTAACTTTTCCACAATTCTGCAATAAACAAGCTTAACATTTTTTTACGCAAGGTTCAGTTAATTCATGACCTGCTTGAAATTTAGTCCAAGGTTTTATGTGAAATGCTATACAATTTTTCTAGAAATTATTTTAATTCATAATTGCTTCATTAGAATTTTTCATTTGATATAAATTTTCATTTTAGAATAACTGTATCGTTTTGAAACTCAGTGAATCACTTCTTTAAATAAAAAAAGATTTTTTTCCATATAAAATGAAAAATACAGGTGTTATACTGGTTTCCCTTTTCACTTTGGACAGTGTCCTCAGTGGTGATATGGATAAATGGCTGATGAGTTTGATCATTCTTAGTGAATGTTTGCAGAACAAGTGTCCAGTCATTTGAGAAAAAATTATATGTGGAGTAACTGGTTTGATGTAATAATTTAATATGGCATCTGCTTTTAGCCAGATTTATGTGACAGTAATGAAGTAAAGAATGCTTAGAATTCTTTATAACTTTAGCAATTGCGCCTCATTAATTACTTATCTTTTCAGTACTCATTTTGGCTTTTGACTGTAACTAGATTTTGCCCCCTCTAATAGTTGATAAATCAATAATTTAGAAAAAATATTTCATAGGTGTCTATACAGTATATTTATTTAAATGTTATTTTTATTGCTCATATTGTCTTCTAGCCTCATTGTGGGGTCAAAGTAATATTTATTATTATTTATGGATGTTTTTAAAAGCATTGCCTATATAAGTGGTCTCGAACTGGGGCTGTGTGTAACCTCTAAAGTAGTTTTATGTGGCCCGCAAATACATTTCAATTATGTATTTGTTGTAAATGTGGTATTGCAAAGATTACAAGATTTTAGTTATTTGAAGTCCAGTTTTACAATTTTTTTTATCGCCGTTAAAACCAAACACGAATAACACATCAAAGAAAATCTGTAAATGGAACTAATTAATTTACAGAGTGATTTGGATCTAAAAAATTTGAAAAGACAGATTTTATTAACTGTTTATTCTTATTTGGTCAAAACATAAATACACTCAGTTACGAATTTTTGCACTAAAAATAATAACTTTGCCTGAGACATTTCTATGTGAAAGCTTTTTTCAGAGTTGAAAATTAATAAAAACCCAATTGTTCAGTCAACATCTGCACTCAATGATGAAGATAATTTTTAGTGATCCCTCCCCTCCCCAAGGCTACAAATTTTTTCAGAAAACAAAATGCCTTCAAATGTCTAGCTGTAGTAAGAAATAAAGAAGTTTAGAACTTTTTGCATGCAAAAATATGTATTTTATGTGTCAGAAAGAAAAATTAATAAGAGAAAAGCTAGGTTGTTGCTATTCATTCTTGAGCTTTTTTCCCATTTGGAAAGTTTTAATGATTTAGTTTAAATTAAATCAAGTTAGTTAATGATTAACTAAATAATAATTTCATTTAAAATATTTTTCATTTTGTTAAAAATAAATTCTGGTCCATCAGCTGTTTTCAAATTGTACCATTTGGCCCACTAGCAACCATGGGCTTATATAGTTTCCAGATATCACTTGGCTTTAGAAGTGGGTAGGAGAGCTTGAACTCCACATCATTTGTACTTTAATGTTGAAGAATAGTCATTTAAAATTTGTGTCAATGTGCTAAACAGTATATAAATCTTTACCTAACATATATACTGAAGTACTTATGCATAAAAGTTGTATTCTGGAATTCTTATTAAAAAACTCTTGAATGAGGAAATTAGAACTGCTAAAATGCAGGAGAGATAAGATGTTAAAATAAAATTAAAAAATAATTTAAAAAAAATTAAAATCTGAAAGGATTCAGTTTCTAACATTTGCCCAGAAGGGCTCTTTTAATGTTTGATTTGGCTTATCAGCAGAGATTATCGATAGAGATGACCTAGGGGGCTGAACAAAACATTTTATAGTATATGAGATGAATATGCATTTAGACTAGCATGGGAATGTTAGGTACCTGCTGTATATTTAAAAAGTAAAAAAATATGTAGTATAATTCTACAAAAATATTTAATGTTTTAAATTAAATTTATTATTAAAATTAAAGGAATTTTTTATTAAATTAATCAGAACATTTTTTATGAAAAATATTCAATGCTTTGAATTATAAATTAAATGCATTTTGATTTAAATCAATAAGATTAAAAAGTAAAAAATAGTATTTTAAGAACTACATCTATTACTTTAAAATGGTTTAGTTTGTTTATCAGCAGCAGACAGATTAAATATGAAAGAATAATATTCTGAATGACAACAGTCTTTAATAAAAAAATGAAACAACGCATTTACAGTGGACCATGCAAATTCACATTTCGAGATCAAAAGCCGTCAATGCGATCAAAATATCAGTAAAAAAATAATATGACCTAATGATGATCTTATTGCTTAGATGATTGTTTTCGATACATGCATTTCTGGTGAGGGAATATTTTCTATAATACGGATTGAGAACATAACCCTTTTTAATACATTCATAGCGTTCAGAAATCAAAAAGGTATGCTGTGCTCCTGAGTATTAGAGTTTCGATATTGAACATATTATGTTAATATGGTTTGACAGACTGGAATATTTATTATTGCAGTTAATTTTTATCCATTCTTAATACTTAGCTTTAATATTTTTCGTAATTTTAGTAAACATTTATGAACTTAGATTAAGATAAACAATTAGTAACTTCTTCATTTAGTGATGGGAGAAGAAATATATACAAGGATTATCAAATATATAAAATTATTCATTTCTTTATACTAGAAATGTTTATTTCAGTGTACTGTTGTTAATAATTGAAAAATTAATGACTTAACTCTTTCGCATCGAGAGAGGGCAAAATCTCAATTCCCCAAACATCGAAAACGCCCGTATCTAAGCATTTCTCCTGGAATGCTTTTCCTTCCCCCATGACAAGTTGAATACTACAGCGCTAACAATAGCTTACTTAAGTAAAGCGAGAACTTCTTTCTTCGACGCTTTGACAGGGTAGTTCCCCTTGGGACGGGATTGCACTTCGGGCATCAAAGCTAAACACTGACAGCAAACAGGGAAAGGAAGGAAAAGGAAACAGGCTTCAAAAGAATGATGAATGTGATTAAAACACCTGAAGCAAGAGTATGCAGTAACGTGATGGGGGAAAGCATGGGTAGGAAATTATTCAGGCGTTTCAGGCGTCCAGCCGATGTCTGAATGTTTGGGCGTTTGGGGCGACTTCGATGCGAAAGAGTTAATATAATTTTGCCTTGGTTAGAATATGTTATCTATTTTCTCTGTATTTATTGTTTTATCTTTTCAATATTAATGCTCTTTCATACATTTATTGCAGAAACAAGAGTCATTTTTGAGCAAAGAAGTTTCCTTTGTTGTTTCAGATCGAATATCTCTTAAGCATCACCTCCTGAATTTATCTGCACGTAAATCTAACACTGCATGTCCAAGTCCTCAACTTTTTAATGACAGGTAAAAGAATATGAAGAAGTACCCAAAATTCATAAATAATTGTAAACAAGATAATGTATTATGCTATTTCTTTTTGTCATGGTTTTGAATTAAATGAAATTTAAAAACTCAATGAAAATTTAAATTATTTTGCATATAAGATTCGGGACTTACTGATTATCCACATCCCAACAAAGAGTTTGCAACTTTGTGAATTGGCCCAAAAAAAGTTAGTTAACCAACAAAACATTTGACATGTAGATATGGGTCTATTCATAATTAACTATAAAATGAAGACACTTTTTTAAGCCTCTGACGCCTCTTAGCAGTGCAGGATTTTAAATCCGTCATGAAGACCGGTATTTAAACAGCATTTATTAATTGAGTAATTGAGTTTGTATAATTCTTATTTTGGTCTGCATTTTTATAAACTTAAATTTATTAAGATGATATTTACATTATCAAAGACAGTAAGAAAGCAAAATATCTTAAATTATAAGCTAATTATATGCCAAGTAGCAAAACGTCTGATGACCGGATAAAAGCCAGCTATAACGCTTGGAGGGTTAAGAAACAAGAAGGGGGGGAATCTATGTAGCAGATATTTACACTTTTACAGCCAGCAAATAATGTTGAATGAAATGAGGATTAAATGTAAATCGTATAAATCCATGTGCACTGGAAGATAGCTGTGGTATCACGTGTGTGGCGATTGTCACATATATACTTAAATATGTGGTCAAAACTTAGCTATTTTATCACATGCTTCAGATATGCGGATAATTGGAAAATACCTGAAATTCAGCGATTGTCACTAAAAGTAAATCTATTTCTGCAGCTGTAAGTTTTACACTTGGGAGAAACAAGTTTTTATGAAATGTGCTCATATGTACAAAGAAAATTCAATTATTTTTTGAAAATTAAAACTATATGAAAAACATATTTGCAATTATGATTATTCATGTTATTTTACTCTAAATTATTTTCCAAAATTTAATATAATATGCTAGTACCAATCTCTTGAATTATATTTTGTACGAGTTTGATGTACCAGAACTGCTAAAGGAATTTAGAAGAATGCGTTTCCAGAATGTGATTTGCCAATGCACTTTCATGAATCAGTACTCACGAAAATAATTTTTATGACACAAATGAGATGCTTTAAATTAAATTTAAATAATCTGAATTGAAGATTGACTGCTGTATATGAATTGTAACTCTGCACTTAATTATCTTTTGAAAAGAAATTGAGCTGATTTTTTTTTCTTCCTAAAATGAATGTCTTTTGCTTGACAATTTATTAATTAAAAACATTTGTCTACCTAATTTTGTCACATTTGCCCCTCTCCTCTCAAATAACAAGAGATTATATTTTGATTTTATAAATTTTCAGTGTCTTTGGTTTATCTCCACTTCATTTGACTTCTCCCGGTTTGGAACAAGATGCTGCGCCAATGGTATGTTTTACTGCTTTCTTGACATTAAAAGGGCAATTTATTTTTAAAGAATATAATTGCATCATATTTATAATTTTCTTTTCTTTTCACAGTCTCGAGGACTTGCTCTTCTTCAGAAAGCTAGACTCCAGGTATTTTAATTTCTTTTAACTAGCTATTTCTGTAAAATTGAAGTATATAATTTTTATTCACGTTTTTTTATCAAAAATTTGAACAATTTCAGTATTGTAAATGATGACTTGTTGTTTTAAAATCTTAAATGTCTTTGTTTATCAACTTACATAAATTCTATTGAATAAAATCTTAACATGTGATCTCTTTCAAATCTCTTTTAGACGAAAGGTACTGGTGACATAATGGAAGTTTGCAAGCAATGGAATATAAAAGTTTATCATGTTCAAAAAGTTTTATCGTGGATAGAAAAATACAAGAACTTGTACAGGAAATATTATCTTGCCTGGGTAAGATCATTATGCAAAAAAATTACAATGTTTTTTTTAATTATAGATAATAATTTTATATGTATTTCAATTTTATTTGTTTTTTGTCCAGTATAGCACTGAAAAAATATATCCCCCAAACTAGGAATTCATGTATCACTTGTATGTCATTGTTATTTCATTTTTTTGCAAACTGTTATATCATTTAGCAAATCTAAAATTTTGGCAAATTTAAAAATAAAAATATTGTGAGTTGTTTTTATAAAATTTTATCCTCAAATTTTATACTTTTGAGGCTTTTTTGCTGTTTTGTATTTATAGCCAGAATGCCTTTTTAGAAGAGCTTTACATTTTAATATTTGGAATGGTAATGTTAAAAGTGGTTAAATTTAAATTCTCCTACTTTTTAATTGTGTGCCATTAAATTTTGTTGTTGTAATATAAACTTATTTGATTAAAGGAGTTAGTTTTAAAGTTGTTATCTAATCTAATGGTTTTTAAGCAGATGTGCACTTAATACATACACTCATATCATTTAAATTAGCTTTCCCTTCTTACAAAATTTCAGACAGTTTTATAAGATTTGATTTTAAATTAATATAGATCATTACATATTTCAGTTTTATTATGTGAGGAATTTTTATTTTAATGAAAATCATATTTATATGTATGTAAAAAAAAAAAAAAAAAAAAAAAAAAAAAAAAAAACGAATTTGTTTCATTGCATTATAAGGGCAGATTTTTTTTTTTTTTTTTTTTTTTTTTTTTTTTTTTTTTTTTTTTTTTAAGTAGGATTCCTGAAAAGGCAACCAAACTCTTGTCAGGTGTTGAATGTTATACCTTTCATTTGCCTACCTACCAGTGTTGATCATTATACTGTAAGAGCATATTTAAATCTGTAATTCCTCTTCCTTAACGGGTAAATTGGAAGACAGACTAACCAAGGTTTGGATGAGTTATTGCAATAATTTTATATCAGTGTGCTGCCAAATTTTACTAATGCATACAATCAAAATTATTTTGTATGTACTTTTAAATCCATGTGATATTAATCTTATACGTGCTCACAGTATATGTAATGAAATATATGTAAATTTCATATGTAATAAAAGCAAATTTCAGAGAAGTATTGATGGAGGAACACAGATGTAGAGGCGTAGAAA